TGAGCAAATGGAAAGTTATATAATGGTCATAGACAGAATACCAATTCTCATGGAATTTATCTATCAATTCAATTTAACTTCTAAGTAAGACTTCCCATGAAACTTGAAAATACTCAATTGCAAAAGCAATGGACCAAGAATGGCCAAGATAATTTTCAAGAAGGAAAACAAAGTTGAAGGAACTTGTCTTACCAGATATTGTTAATAAGACATTGTGATAATGACACAAGATAAACAAATAGAGAAAGCAACAAATACAGCCCAGAAACAGATATAAAAATTTTTATGTTTAATAGAAATGATAGTCTGAAAAGTGTAAAGAAAAAAAATGAAGTATTGAAAAATATGCTAAATTGATTTTCATATATAAAATTAGACTCCTTCTTTATGTTTTACACAATTCATTTTCAAGTGGATTAAAACCTATGTATATGTAAAAGCAAAACAAACTTTTGAAAAACAATAAAAAGACTTCCTTAATGACTTCAAGGTAGATGAGGATTTCTTTAAGAAGATGGAAAAAGTACAAAAACTAAAGACTGATAAATTTGACTACATTAAACTAAACACCTTCATACATCAAAAAGCCCTATATACAATATGAAGAGAAAACCAAGAAATTGGGAGAAAGTATTTATATATACTGACACATATAACAGCTAACAAACTCTTAAAAATCATTAAGAAAAAAGGCAAACACAATAGTAAAATTGGCAACGACAGAAGCAGTACACAGTGATCACAGATATAACTTACGTCTAATGAACATATGAAAACATGAACACAGTAGACACTATGCACATACATTGATCAGATAGACTACGTGACAGGAAAGGTACAAATTCACCCAGAAATCTCAGCGACATAACAAGGCAGAGGTTTGTTTCCTGGTCACAAATCAGACCCAGTATGAGCTGACAGGGGCTTAGCTCCACAGTCATTAAAGGGCCCATGGGCAGGAGAGCTGTGCACAAATTTTTTTAATTCTCTGCCCTTGAAGTGACACTTGGCACTTCTGCTTATAGCCTATGGGCCAGAAGTACTTGGCTGGCCTCACTTAATTGCAATGGGGCTGGGAAACATTGGACAAACACAGATATTCAGTGAACAATAAATGTCTCTGCCAGCACTTGAAATTAGAGAAATACAAATTAAGGCAATAGCAAGATGCATCTCACACTCATTGGGCTGGGGGAAACAAAAGCAACTCCGGTAGGAGTGGTGAGGATATGAAAAATGGAAACAATCATACACACCTGTGGAACATGTAAATTGGCACAACATCCTAGTTTGCAGTGTTGGGACAAGTTAGAGATGTACATTCTTATAACCATACTTCCACATGTGCATAAAAGGTGTCATGTGAAAATTATTCACATTGGAGACAATCTAAATATTAAGACCTAGAATAGTATCTAAATAAACTATGGTATATTCTTATTGAAAGTAGATATTGATAGAGCATTGAACAGAAAAAAAGGAAGTTGCAGAAAGTGATGCACTGTTATACTTTTTTATATAAAATTTTGAAACCTGCAAAACTATAATATATATTGTATATTAGATATATAGGTATGCAGTTCACCTATAATTTCAAAATAATGTTATCTTAAGGGAGAAGAGATGGAGGTTAAGGTACGTTAGTCATAAAACTGTTCATACCCATTAATTCTACTATAGGTAATAAAACCTAAGAAAATGATACTCTTTAACCTTCAAAACTTTTTCTTTATTAACACTTATATAGTAGTGTTTTATATCAATAATACATTAGAAACAGTCCCAAATATTCAAAACAACATATGAAATATGATGAGATACTACACATGAATTAGTACAGTGTCTGGACCTTGATCAGTGTTAGCTATCATCATCACCACTATTATCTCTACACTGTAACTATTACTTTTATTAAAAAAATAAGCATGTAAACTAGGTTGGTGCATGGAAATACAGCGAAAAATTTTAATTGGATAAAGTAGGATACTAATTAGAGAGTACAATTAACTAAACAAAAAACATATGTGTGTCCATTAATTATTTTAAAATAACTTGGAAACTTGATAAAATTTAATGTTTATTAGATTACTCTAATAATTTGCATATTGAAAATTAAGTTACATCACCACTAAATTTCTCAAAACCCTGCATTACTTAAAGTTTCTAGTTTACTTTCCTAAAAGGCATAGGTATTTAAAAAATATTTAAGGAAATATAAGTGACAACTAATCTCATTAATGAAGAAAATCATCACAAATGATTCATGGTCCCTGAAACCATTAATCTTTGAAAAGAAAAATAATTTAATAGTGCCTTTACAACCTACCTGTTTACTTGATACCCACATTATCTTTATCAGATGTTTTATAGTTAACATGACTTTGTTTTACTAAAGGAGACACCTATAAAAGCCTTAGGAGAATCCAACGTCTAAGACTATTATGTTTTTGTAATTCTAATTTTTTTTCAGTACAGTTTTATCCACTGATAAAGGTCAGGAAGGAAATAGAGTGTCTTTCATTTTATGCCTTCATTCCAGCACTGAATGAATCTGATATATATCTTCATACAATGACCTCACCTTGGATTTTTTTGCTGAGGTCAAGAACATAGCAACTACAGTGGGAAGTCTAGAGCATACCCCAAGGGAAGAGAGAAGGAAGATAGTTTTCTTCCCTCAGTTCACTGGATCCCTTTCAGGGTTTAAAATACTGTGACCAATAAATATTGGTTGTGAAACTTATTTAGAGCCATAGCACCTATGGCCTGTGTTTGGGAGAAAACGACTATCTCCTCTCCTCATGATCATCCTAGGTTACAAGGAGCTGTGCCTTTCTATGTTCTTTTACATCTCCCTAAAAGTCTGTTTGACTTTCTCCTTGATATTATCTACTCCAGTTATTTGTTTGCATGTGTAGTTGACACAACAGTGGGTATTAAATGGTTATGAAAGTTATGTCCTTGAGCTTGCAGGCCTGGAGATCATTGCTCATCCAGGAAGTGTCATGGCACTGTGTAATGGAGGTGTCATTTTTTGTTCAGCTTGGACTCAAATCAAGATGTGGCTTTCCTACCTAAGGAAGAGAAATATAATCCTTCCCATTGCCAAAGAGCAGAGACAGCAGCTGGCAGAGGGAACACAGATGGGGTCATATGGCTTAGACTAGAGAAACATCTCCAGAGACAATGGACATATGTCATTTCTGGATTACCATTTTGCCTGGCTATGTAGGGATAAGAAATATTTAGTTGTCCAAGGTAAATACAGCTGTAACTAGAGATGTCTGAGAAAGACAGCCATGGAGGCCAAATGGAATAACACATCAACTGTATTTTGTAGGTGTTCTCAGCTTTAGTTTTCAAAGATCAACTGGAAGAAACAAGATCTTAAGATAAAACCTCTGTGAAGAGTTAGTGCCTTATCTCTTGTAGCTCACATGTTTTGTCTCATTTCTGGGATTTGAATTTGCAAAGATTTTAATCACACATGAACTAAGCAGGGATTAGTTTGCCTATGTAAACTAAGGCCACAAAGAAGCTGAAAGCTTAACCAAGGCTTAATCAATGAACTAATTTCTCTATTGAATTAGTCTGTTCATGAACCATAAAGTAAGACTGATAAAGGAAAATAAATGTACATTATTGATTCTGTATGCCTGAAATAAGCCAAATGGGATGAATTTCATAATAATCAAATCCTTTTGAATAATTTTATTTTCCTGATTCTCTTTTATTTAAAAAGTGATTCATCTAGGGTCTCTTCATGTAGAAGTAGTTATACCAACAGAATTAATAAGCAAATTTAACTTAAAAATTTTTCTCAAATACTATATTTTTTAAAGGCATTTGTTTGGTAAGTGTATTTTTGAAATAGAATTTTTATTAATTCACAGTAAACAAAATATCTACTATATATTAGATTTATTATGTCCTTGTATGAACAAACATATCAGTGAAAAAGTTACAAAAATAGTTTGAATTTGGAAAGGAAAGCATGATAGCTAAAACAATTTTCCAAAAAAAATCAAGGTGGAATATGTTTTATAAAAAAAGTTTAATTTCTTTTAAAAATAAACCATAGATTCTTACCATAATGAAGACAGACAATAAATAAATGACTCAATATTTCACTGATTTGTCTTTTAAAGGTAAGGCCAAGATTAATTTTATAGTCAATTGCAATTAAAATTAGGAAGTAGAATTCTTATAAATTCTGCCTATAATGGACTGAAGTTTAGATAACATTTTTTTCTTAGAACTGGGGAAAAAAATAGGTCACGGTGCCCAGGTAGAAATATTATATGTACCTAGCAAATAGGGAAAGTTCTACTCAAAAGAAAAGCTTAAAATTAAGAAAGGGTTTCTAAAATTAATATAATCACTTTTCTGGTTGGACAAAAGGCAAATTCTCATGACATATTTTAGGTTAAAGGAGTTTTTCTTTGTACTGGCAAAACAATTATGTGCTTTTAGGATTTTTCTTAATAAGGAAAACAAAATTTTACACATTAAACTCTTTGTTCTGTCATATGTATGACAGTTCTTATTTTCCTTATTAAATTTACTTAAATATTTTCCATTGATCATGTGTTATTTTTATAATTATGAAAGATCAAAGTGATTTCTATTTTGAAAAAAGAGAAATTACAGCTGGGCATTTTATTTTACCCCTTGAATTATCCAAGGAAAAATCTACTACATTTGACTATTTTCCTATGTTGTAGGCTGGAAACCATACTGAGCAGAAATAAAACCATCTATGAAAAATTATTATTGTCTATTAAATTAAAGGAGAGTCCTAAAATTTTTTGGATGAATATAAACTTGGACTAAATGTATTAAGTAAAAAGTGCTTTTTATACCACCAGACCTCCCTGTGCCGCCTCCACCAAAAAAACAGGGGGCAAGGGAAATGCAAGAAATAGAGAATGGAAGCACAAGAACATAATGAACCCTCGTAAACTTCTCACATGGTAGCCCAAACAGCAGATATAATTTACCTTGGTTTTTGGAGATGGGTTTTGCATGTCTCTTTCTAAGTCTTTTGTTAGAAAGATGGGGAAGGAGTTCTTACAATGGGCTTCCTATAAAAAAAATAGAAAAGAAACATTAGAGACTAAAGAACATCACCCCAACTGGAGATTACAATGTAGTGAAAGAAAATTTTAAAGATCGGGCATTTCTGGCTTGAGTTGTTCACATCAGAAGCTAGGGAGATTATAATGAGGAGTCAAAAATGTTTCCTTTCTTATTTGTCACCTTCAACAGTAAACTAAGATGAGATGGTGATAGAGTAGGTATGGGACATTCAGGATACATATATTAGAAATAGCCATTAAAAATCTCATCTACACTATTCTGTCACTTGCACATTCATAGATAACTCATCTCTTCTTTGGAGAATTGAAAAGTTTATTCTCCAAGATATCATCCTCCAAATTTAGAGTTGCCAACTTCCTCACAGTATTTTACAGATGGCTTCTGATTTTATAAATACTTTATCTTAGACAAATTCCTTTAGATAATATAACAAGCCACTATTGAATAATGTATTCCATACCAATATTTTAACTGAGGAAAAACACCTGAATATCTGTTTCCCAAATTATCATGCTTCTAAATCCTTGGTTCATAACACAATAGTACTTGCAAAAATAGAAGCAGAAATTACAAGGAGGCGGCTTACATGGATTTGGAGAGACTTACTATTTATTTTACATGATAAAACATTAATCTTGTTTTGTAAAAAAGTACTGTACAGTGTTACTTCTGAACCATTAACTTTGATAAACTATTCAAAGATGATTGTCTCTCTAAATAAGGAAAGAAAAAATACACAAGAGGAAGACTACAGACAACAATAATACAAAGGAGAAAATAAGTCAGATCTCTTTCACTTGCACCACAACCTTCATCCCTTCATCCCTTTTCTTCCCCCATCATCTCTATCATTCAATTATCTAAATCATAGTATTTTTTTTCCAGTTTACTTTAGGGTTAATTGATTACAATCTTTTAAACAATATCTTAGTCTACATACGTTATAATATTACTAACATTTGCTGGAATTACATTCACATTTCTAAAGGGGATGGTATATTAGCAGGATAAATGTCCCTAGAACAGTACTACTTACTACTAATAAATATTTACTGAATCTTAGGATGTATCAGGCACTGTGCTAAAGACTTTGTATTCACTATTGCCTTTTTTACCACCAACAGCCCCATGAGTTAGGTACTGTTATCATTCTCCTCTGAAGGGTAAGCACAATAAAATCTTATGGAAGTTAAGGAAACTTTCCCAGTATCACCCAGTACTAAAAGATGGTTTGGTATAACTTTAAGGCCTGAACTCTTACCACTTTTATATACTACTTCTTGGGCAATATACTTGACATCTTAAATCACTAAATTGTAGAGCCATAGTATTTTCAAGCCATAAGAGATTTTAAAGATCAACTGGTCTACCCCTTTTCCCAACCCTCCCCCTGTAATGATGTGCCCAAGATCATACAGAGTGTGGCAGAGCTGAGACACATGCCTGGGCCACAGGGATGTACATGGCACCTGTTCTCAGCATTGTGCTGGGGAACAATATTCCCAGACTCAGAGGAGAGCAAGAGCCTCTTGTAAGCTGGGGATAGTGAGCTGCTGCCAACATACTCAGCTGCCTGTGGCCCCATGTAGAATCCTATGTAAGTACCCAAGGGTACATTTCTGAGATCTCCAAGTAAGTGTGCTACAGTCCTACCCTTTCCCACAAGTCACAGCACCTGCTGGTGGTAAGCTGCTTCCTGGAAATAGCGAATGAACCCATTCCCTCTTCTGACTCACTGTAAGAGGGATAAATTATATCCAGCATGATATTTAGAAGATCCAAGCGATTAACTGCATTATCCATTGCATAATTTGACTACCCATGCATCATACAATTATGTTTAATCTTTATGCCCCCTTTAAAAACTACTGGTATGTAAATATTAGAATGTTATGAGAAAGAAAAAAAAACTGACTCTTAAGGGCTGTTAATAAGAATAACTGACCTTTGTTTATGACTGTTTACAAATGCCTATGATTCTTTCTTCCTTATGCACAAGCTAAAAGTGATAGTATTTCTTTATTACTTTTGTTTTTCCTTCCTGTCCCTGTGAATTAATGAGTACAAGGCTGATAGCTTTTCCCTCTAAAACTCTGAAAACATTTTCTGTAAACTTTTATTTGAAAATGCCACTTAGATGAATCATGTTTATTTTTTCTTTGATGACTTCAAATTTAAACAGAAACAAATTGAAATTTTGTAGTGAGAGCATTGAACTAGAGTCAAGTGATCTGGCCTCTTACCCTGGTTCTCTAACAGCTACAGGGACTCGGGCAAGCATTTAAACCTATTGGACATCCCTCAGTTCAAAGATTTATAAAATGAGACACTGGATTAGATGAGCTCCAAGAATCCTTTATAATGCTTAAATTTAAGACTTTATGATTTTATGCTTCTTCATGGAAGAAGTAATATTTTTGACAATGAGGTAAGCCACCACCTGCTCAGAGTTGCATTCCCACTACCTCACTAGAATGCTGCTGAAATACAGCACCCACCCATGTAGCAGGCAGGGGGTCAGGGACTCCAGAGCCACTGGACATAGAAAACATTTCCTTCAGGGCTAATGTTACTTGGATTTTTGGAGAACAGTTAGAGTCAACTAATAGCTTAAAAAAGCAACTGGAAATAATCTGTTCATTTTAAGACAGCTATATTACAGACTCCAGAAATATTTTTAAGATAAGACTTTTTAAAAGTTGTGCCTTTACAAAACCATTTATACTTATGAAGTAGATGTCTAAGAGAATTAAAAACATATGTCCACATAAAAACTAGTAAATAAATGCTCATGGCAGCATTATTCATAAGAGGCAAAAAGTGGTAATAACCCAAATGCCTATCAACTGGTAAATGGATAAACAAAATATAGCATATCCATACAATGGAATATTATTCAGCTATATAAAAAGGAATGAAGTACTGATGCTTGCTGAACATAGATTAACCTTGAAAACATTATGCTAAGTAAAAGCAGCACAAAACACAAAAGGGCACCTATTGTGTGATTCCACTTACACTAAACGTATAGGAGAGCAAATAGTGACAGAAAGTAGATTAGTGGTTGCCAGGGGCTGGAAGGAGGGCTGAATGGGGAGTAGCTCCTCCTAATGGGTCCAGTCTGTATGGGATTCCTTGTTGGGATGGTAAAAATGTCCTGGATTTAGGTAATGGTAATGGTTGCCCAACTTTGTGAACTCACAAAAAACCAACAAATTGTGTACTTTAAACAGGTGAATGTTATGGTATGGGAATAATACCTAAATTGAAAGAAAAAAATTTAAAGCAAGTCCCCACATGCCCAGGGAAAAGAAAAGAAACTATGGGTTTGTGTTCAAGCTCTTACCTTGGAAGAACTTTGAAAGGGTTTGAAGGGGGAATGTTTTGTGTTTATAAGTATTGAACTCTATGTGGGCATAAAAATTCACTCAACAAGTATTAACTGAGCCCTGTTATGTATGGTATTCCAATGCCGGTGATTGGAGAATGGAATGGTAAATAAATTAGACATGATTATATAGGGTATATTTGTGTTCATTTTAAACATTTGGTCTATTTAAATGAGACTTTTGACTGAATGGATTTGAATGTATTGTGCAACAAACAATTGCTTCAACCAGTTGTGCCATTTCAGTATTATGAAAACACTATTTAAGAACACCTTGTTTATCATTGGCTTTGTTGGCCTTACTACTTAACCGCTAATGACATTAAAAAATAGGAAAGCACTTGCTGTTTCCTCAGCCTAGCATGTGACTCCCACAGTTATTCACCAGCTTGTTTCCTCATTTCATCCAGGTCTTTGTTCAATTTTACTAGAGAGGATTCCCTTCCTGGAACACCTTATCTAAATGACCACTGTTCTCTCCTCCCACTCCATGCTCTCTATCTTGCTACTCTTTTTATATTTCTCTATAGCCCTCAGCAATATCTGATTTTAATACTTACTAGTTTTAATTTTTTATTGTCTGTCTCCCCCTATTCTGTAAGAGGACTTGGTCAGTCTTGCTCACAAATATATCCAACAGAGCCAAGAACAGTCCTAGGGCCTAGTACTAGATGTGTTTTGCAGAGTAGGAGCTCAACTGCTGAAGTGAATGAGTAAACCAAATGAATGAATAATATCCCTTCTCTAATCTTTCACAATCGCGTATGCATTCTTCCTGATTTGAGTTCTCTCTTTAATCAGCTTACATTTCATGATCCCTCTTTCCTTTGCTAATGCCCTTAATTTCCTTCCTCCAGTCTTGAGTCATTGTATTCATCTCGCTAAAGTACAATCCTGGATGAATCCAGCTATGTGCCTTCTCTGCACTGGGAAAGGAGCAACAAAAAGGGGTTGGAAAAAATTATAGAATTGGTTAACTGTTTCATGTTAAATTTATTACCATAAATCTTGAACAAACCCTAATTCACAGCAATCCTACTATACTTTTATCGTAACTTGACTTGCCACTCTCCAAGATGATGCTTCACGTCTTCTCCACCCTTTTCAAACCTCTTTCCTTCTATTCTTGTTTCATACTTCATGGGAAAAACAGAAGCACTGAAAAAGAAACTACTCACTGTCCCACCATCAGATTTACAAACCTGCTGCAAGCATTCTATCCTCTCTGCCTTTTCTCCAGTTACAGAGAAAGATGACTCTGATCCTATCAAACAGCCTTACTTCTCATCAGCTCTCAACTTCTCAAAGACTTCACTCCTTCCCTTAGCCCCTCACTCCCTCTCCACTAGATCATTTCCATTAATTGCAAGTATGCTATGGAATTGTATCTTTTTGGTTTATTTTTAAAACAACCCTTTCTTAATCTCTTTTTTCCTGCTAACTATGGTCCTACATTTTTGCTTTCCTTTGAAGTAAACACCTTCAAAACAGCTGTCTTCATTCAGTGTCTCTACTTCCTCATCTTCAATGACTCTGATTCTGTTTTTTTTTATTACCACATAGAAAATGCTGAAACTGTCACAGCTTGGTCTCCAT